ACAATAACCAGGTGAATCTACAAATGCCCCAGTCTAATGGCTAGCACAGGCAGCCTTTGTATTTAGCCTCAGAACCCTATTCTCTTTCTAACCAATCATCCATGAGTGCCAAGGGGCCCTCCTACATGTAAGCAAGAACCCTCTGGATAGAAAGCTTTGTCCTTCCCCATCCTCATGGGTTTTGTTAGTGCCTTTAATGTTTCTTGAATATTCATGAAGTGAGTAAATGAATAATTGGGATACATTTGCAGTACAGACCCATTATGGGATAGCTGGGGCACCTTAAAAAGATACTAATGATTCATTTTGACATGACTGTAAGAGGCTGCACAGGGATTTTGTCTGTGTGACTTGCTAATGCAGAAACAATTGTTCCATTTTCTGGCTTTAATGTCCAGAAAGATACTGGAATGCACAGTAGTAAATATCCCTAAAATAACACTCAACACAACACAAAGACAAGCTAATTTTAAATTCCATTTATTTGTACTGATAAAGAAAAAAAACAAACTCTAGGTGGGAGGAAGGGAAAGAAGTATTTGTCTAATGGAGGAAAAAATGATTAAACAAGCTTTCTCTCACATCATAGATAACTAGAGCTTTTGAAAGAACCTTAGAGGTAATCCTCTCCATTGGCCTTTTTGGATAAGTGAGGAAGATGAGGCAACCAGAAAGGGAAAGTATGACTTTCCTAAAGTCACACACTAAGTAGTGAGTATCAGAGATGGGATTGGATTGCAGGTCTCCTGCTTTTAATCCACCACCCTTTTCTCTGCATTGGATATCAATAAGAGAAGAAGGTACTTTTAGTTTCCAGGGGAAAAGATCAAATAATTTGATTTGCAGCCTCCAGAGAAGAAAGAGTTTGGACCTTCAGAGGCAAAAAAGGGTTTGTTCACTGTGGAAGGATAATCCAAGATGGCAGCTCCTTCCATCCCCCACCCACCTCTTCTTCTGAGTTTCCTTTGGCTGATTCACAGCCAGTTTACTTCTTCTTTCCAAAGGTTTCCTCCAGTGAAGGCAATGATAAAAGAAGCATGTTTGAATGAAAATTAGGCTTTTAACAGGAGTACATCTGCAGGCATGGGGCCATCATTTGGCAAATTGACAATTAGAAAATACATTTTATGAAAGCAATAACACCCCAGGGTGTGCATTATACAGTAAGAACATGTTTGGGGGGTTTTTGTTCCAGGCTGCACCACACACCCAAGACATACCATGATTACAGCTTAGTTCTAATTTCAACTGTGACTCCCTGCTGAGGAATGACACTCTGTCAAGCACCACATGGCTCCTTATGGATTAAAGGCTTGCATGAAAGAGCAGGTCATGGCTTTCAAGAGTTCTGGATCCTCTTGTTAGCTCCAACAGGTTTGTGGCTGAAGCAGGTGGATTATTCAAACTCATCTCGAGACAGGCCAGCATTAAGTTAATTGTCCCCCCAAGTACAGAGGAGGAAGCAACCTTCCTCTTTCCAGTTACAATATTTTCCCCTTCTAGGGGAAAAAAATTCTGTCTGATTGAATGGAGAATGGAAGCCTTGGTAGGTTGTATTCCAGTGATAGAAGGATGGCAAGCAAATCCAGTGTCTATAGCGAGAAAGAGAAAATAAATGGGAAGACTTTGTTCTTTGGGTGTGAACCGAAGAGTAGCATCTTCATCGTGGACTAGTGTGTCAGAATCGATCTATAACAAAAGAATGCAAATTTGCCAGATGATGAGAATATAGGCATTGGCATGGTCACATATTCTGGTTCAGGGCCATCTTTACTCTTTCACTGATGCCAATCTCTTAGCTGCCACAGAAGTACATCTGTTAGCACTAAACACTTCTTGGGCCAGGCTACTAAAAAGACAGCCTGTTAGTATCATGGGCAGATCTTAGGATCATAGGACTTGGAAGACTGGAAGAGACTTTAGCAGTCTGTGATGTAATCCAACCCTATTATGTTACAGATGGAGAAATAAGATCAGGGAGATTGGATCTTGCCCATGAGAGCCAGCAGATGAGTCCCATCCATTACTGACTGTTGCTGTGAAGATTAGCCACAAAAACATGCCAAGGATTTTCAAATCAGCCTGACTATGAATGCTTGGCAGGGAGACATTTATAGTACTCTGTCATGTGTGGGATCTGTCCCTACTTCTGTGGGTGACCTGCCTCACTATCCCCAAAAGAATGAGCAAACCCTGCTCTACAGCAGAGGTCATGGTCACTGGTTCATGATGAAGCAAATGTAACTTCTGTGTGTTCTGCACATACGATCTCATTTGCCCTATTGTCCATGTGAGGAAATTAGAGGTCCTCAGATATTGGTCTTAAGTTATCAGCACCACTGGCAGGTGGGCAGTTTGGAAAAGAGGCTGGATTACAGAAGTCTTTCTTCAACAACATTTAGAGAGCCTACATTTATCCACAAGTTAGTAACAGCAGAATGAAAGGAAAGCACCAGCTGTAGCAATGGTCTAAGCTTTCAGGTATGATGCAAGAAAGATATCTTGGAGTTATTGTAGATCAGAGTTATCAAACAGGCAGTGCAACCTGCCATACTTTTTTTTTGAGGTAACTCGAGTTAAGTGACTTGCACAGGCTCAGACAACTAGTGTCTGAGGTCAAATTTGAACTCAGGTCCTCCTGAATTCAGGAACAGCGCTCTACCCACTGCACTACCTAGCTGCCCACCCCACCCTGCCATACTTTCATGTGCTACAGAATCAGATTAAAATATAATTGGGAAATAATTAACAGAATAAATAAAAATACAATAGAACATAGATAATATTACCTTGTGACTTTCTAAGTCAATTTGCAGCCTGAATGGATCCTTATCTATAGTTTAATTATATTTTTATTTATTTCATTAAATATTTGCCAATTACATTTTTTTAATTCTAACTTTTTTTTAAATTTTGAGCTCCAAATTCTCTCCCTCTCTCCCACCCCTCCCCTACACCTTCAGAAGGCAAGCAATGCAATATTAGTCACACATGAGAAATCATCCAAAACATATTTCCATATAAGCCATATTGAAAAAGAAAAAAAGAAAAAAACAAAGTGAATAATATATGCTTCAAGCTGCACTTTGAGTTCATCAGTTCTCTCTCTGGAGATGGAGAGCAATTTTTATCATGGCTCCTTTGGGGTTGTCATGGATTGTTGTCTTGCTCAAAGTAGCTAAGTCTTTCACGGTTGGTCATCATTGCACTGTTGCTACATACAATGTTCTATTTCTGTTCACTTCATTTTGCATCATTTCACGTAAGACTTCCCAGGTTTTTCTGAAACTATCTTGCTTGTCATTTCTTATGGCAAAATAACATTCTATCACAATCATATACCACAACTTTGTCACCACAAAAAAAGAACTGTTATGAGTATTTTTGTACAAATAAGTTCTTTTCCCTTTTCTTTGATCTCTTTGGGATGCAGACCTAGCAGTGATATTGCTAGGTCAAAGGACATGCACAGTTTTATAGCCCTTGAGCATAGATGCAAATTGTTCTACAGAATGGTTGGATCAGTTCACAACTTCACCAATAGTGCATTAGTGTCCCAGTTTTCCCACATCCCCTCCAGGATTTGTCATTTTCCTTTTCTGTCATACTAGCCAATCTGATAGGTATGAGGAGGTACCTCAGAATTGTTTTAATTTGCATTTCTCTAATCAGTAGTGACTTAGAGCATTTCTTTCATATAACTATAGATAGTTTTTATTTTTTTCTGAAAACTGTCTATTCTTATCCTTTGGCCATTGACCAGTTGGGGAAATGGCTCTTATTTTCACAAATTTGACTTTTTTCTCTATATGTTTGAGAAATGAGGCCTCTATCAGAGAAACTTGATGTATTTTTTTACCCAGTTTCCTGCTTTTCTTTTAATTTTGTTTGTGCAAATAATTTTTACTTTCATGTAAACAAAATTTTCCATTTTGCTTTCCATGATCTTCTCTAGATCTTGTTTCATCATAATCTCTTCCCTTATCCATAGATCTAACAGGTAACTTTTTTCCAAGCTCCCCTAATTTACTTGTGATACCACCCTTTATGTCTAAATCATTTATCCCTTTTGACCTTCTTTTGGCATACAGTGTGAGATATTGGTCTATATATACTTTCTGCCAAACTGTTTTCCAGTTTTCCCAGCAATTTTTCTCAGATGGTGAGTTCTTGCCCCAAAGCTCGGATCTTTGGGTTTATCGAACACTGGACAACTATGGTAATTTACTGTTATGTGTTGTGTACCTAATATATTCCACTGATCTACCACTCTACTTCTCATCCAGTATCAGATTATTTTTATGTTTACTACTTTATAATATAGTTTGCAACCTGGTACTGCTAGGCCACTTTGCTTCATATTTTTAATTGATTCCTTTGATTATGGGTGATTTTTGACAGCAATTTCTATTTCACTTTGAAACCACTGCTTTAGATAGCTCCTTGAAGATATTGGTATTATGTAATGGAGAGCTATTAGAATGTTGGGCTATACTAAGAAGAAAAAGAGAAAATATTTGTCCTTCTAATAAATTTGGTATAGGATTGCTTATTACACCTGAGGATAGTTATAAAGAAGCTGGAAAAGATTCTGAGAAAGTTGGATACAATGATTCAGAGGATGGGGTAAAAGGCATCAATATTGGGACAGACTGAATGAAATACCTTCTCTCTAAAAAAAATAAGGCTGAAAGGAAGTGATCAATCTATACATTTGTTGAGGGGAGACAGTGAGAAGAAAAATGGATTTTTACACCAAATGTCAGAATACTAGAACTAGATGCCTTTCTAGAGACTTGAAAGAGTCTTCACGACCCTTGAAAAGTCATCCTATTTCTCATAAGGGCAAGTAAACTTACAGGACTCTTTATGCACAAAAGGTAATAATTACTAAAAATAGGTGACAGTCATGGATGACAGAACTCAAAGGGTTTTTAAGAGAATGTTAGTAGTGTTCTAAGAATGTCCACACCTGTGATGGTAATAATAGGGAGATAATCCACCAAACTCTCCCTCATCAGAAACACAATCCTCAACTGCAGGTCCCATGGGGCTGACCTGATAGGGAATGACTGAAGTTCTTAATATGTTGCTGGGCACACAGTAAGTACTCATTAAAAATACTTGATGATGACCATGAATGTAAGCTGGGGCTCAAAGCCCATTCATAAGAGACTCTCTTCGTTGGTGCAGATTAATTATCCAGTGCTCAATGCCTACATGAGAGTTAAAATTGGCAAGAATTTGAGAGAAGAGAGAACATGAATTCTGGCTTATACCTTCAAGAGAAAAAACACACAGTTTCAGATTCCCCTCAGGGAGAGGTCTTTTAAGGGAATGAAAGAGTTGGAAGAAGCCAGAATATCAAGGTGCTGGCTCCTTTACATATCTGCTTCATCCATCTTTCTCTGGCTAGAAGCCAGAAAATCAGAATCTGTCTTCTCTCAAGTTCTCACCAGCCTTCTTGTAGGAGTAGAACATTGAGTAATCAATCTCCACCAATGGGAGTCTTATACAAATGAGCTTTGAGTTGAGAGTGACATTTATACCCTATTTCAGTTGAAGAAATAAATTAATGATTGCACTTGCATATTATTTCCATTCATTTGATTCAACTCATGCTTATTAAGCATCTACTTATACCATGAATTATGTTATGCACTGAGGATACAAGGCAACTAGGTTATACGATAGATAGAGTGCTGGGCCAGGAGTCTGGAAGATTCATCTTCCTGTGTTCAAATCTGGCCTCAGACACTAACTAGTTGTGTGACCCTAAACAAGTCACTTAAGCCTGTTTATCTCAGTTTCTTCATCTATAAAATGATGTGGAGAAGGATATAGCAAACCACTCCTGTATCTCTACCAATAAAACTCCAAATAGGCTCACAAAGAGTCAAATGCAACCAAAATGAATGCATAACAACACTGAGGATACAAAGACAAGAATAACACTATTTGTCCTGAAGGAACTTACATTCTGCTGCAGGTGCAACATGTAAACAGACACATTAATATAAGATTATTTTAGGAAGACAAGAATACTAACAACTAAGAGGATCAAGAAACTCTAAACCTGAAATAGAAGCTGAAATGAGCCCTGAATGAAACTCAGGATTCTAAGAAACAGAGATGAAGAGGGAATGCATTCCCAGGCATGGCGAAGAGCTCCAAGGCAAGGAGGAGGGAAATGCAATGCCAATTTCTGGGAACAGCATGTAGATCAATTTGACCAAAATGTAGACTACACAACTCAATCAACCAATCAATTCAAAGGCATTTGTTTAGCACATACTAGATGCCATTCAGTGGTTAAAGGCTAGGTAAGACTTGAGGCAAAAGATGGCCTAGTTTGACTCCATAAAAGAATCAATCTGGAAAGATCCTTAGAGTTGCTGGCAGGAACAGAAACAATTGCTATTTACTTTTACTCTGAGCCATCAAAACACAAACAATGAGCAAGTGAGGCTTGGGCTAGGACCTACTATTGGACACTCAGGGAGAGCCAGAATGTTTTGAGGTTAAAGGCATAGTCAAGTGGCTCCATTTGAATCCCAGTGGGCTTTATCAAAGCCTGGTTTTCCAGAGCTATATTTCAAGAAATCATAAATGAAAACTACATGAGAAAAAAGAGTTAATTGTTGTAGTGTTTTTTAAAAAGAAAAAACAGTGATGGAATAAATAAGTGGAGGTGGGGGGGAATCTAGCCCCCACAGCCCAAGATATCTTGTGAAGTATAAGTGATCAAAATTTATATTCCTTTGGACAAAGAACCTACCTTTAAGGCTATGATTCCTCACATAGAGAAAGGGAGAAACAGAGAAGGAGAGAGAGGAGAAGGAGGAGGAATAGCAGTATTGCCCAATGAGACCTTGCTAAAAAAAGTGGGGTGGTCCCTAGTCTCATCCCACCTCTTCATCTTCCCCAGTTTAGAGCACTAATAAATGCATCTCAGTATACTGGAGTGAACACAGGATTTCAAGTTAGGAGATTCAAGTTCAAGCTCTGGCAATACCATATGATCAGTATGGTCTTACACAAGAAACTTCATTTCCCCGAGGTTGCTTTCTCATCTATAAAAAAAGGATAATAAATCACAGAATTTCTGTTAGGAGAAAGCAAATGTCAACCTTTGTAAACTTCAAAGTAATATATAAATCTTGTTGTTATCATTATTATTTCTATTCTTAAGAAGAGAAAATAGGTATGAAGAAAATCAAAATGGCTTTTTCACAAGATGGCTAAGACAGGTCCAAGGCATACTTCAACATGGGCAGCCCAGGCAGCTACTAGTTGGTACTTAATCTAAGAGAAGTTCATATTCTCTCCAGTTCACCCCTCTCCTCCCCTCACTGAAAGATTTGAAAAAATTCCATCTCTCTTTCTCCTGAAGAACTGAATAGATTCAGACTCTGATACTTTCATTGTTAATTGTTGACATATCCTAATAGCATTTTAGTATATCCCATACATACATATTTATGTCCTCCTCAAATCTGAAAGGGAAGGGAGTGGGGAAGCAAAAACAAAATAAATTATGTAGAATATCACCATCTGCTCTAAATAGTGAAAATGTTTATAGGTTGCTAATCATAATATATTTATTGGGGAAAAAAAGTCACTTTTTTCCCATATGCTTTTGGAGGTTTCAGATGTATCCTTGTTTTCAGTGTGTGTTTGAATGTTATCCCATTTCATATAACTAGCAAAGCACCCACTAATGTCTGAGCTAAGATTTCCTAAGTGCTTGAAATATAATTTTTAATTATTTTAACAAAGATATCTGCTAAACTTCTAAGTGAAAACAACGGTTTCATGATGAGGCAGTAATACAATCAAAATGCCAGAAACAACAAATAAAAACCTAGTGGTCACGGTGGGCCTTGAATTGTCTATAAATCATCCATGCCAAGTTGCAAATCTGAGAGATAATCTCTATGACTATATTCATTATAGTCATATGGACCAGTTCTTTGCTTTCCCAGGTTGATTTTTACAATTTATGGAAACATGAAAGAAGGTCTAGAAAAGAGCAGTCAATTGGTTAAACATATGGGAATTAGTATCTCAGGTGAAAAATTTAGAATACCTTAGTCTAGAGAAATTAAGGTTAAGGTAAAAATGAAATAAATATCTGATAATTTCATTGAATCTCAGAAATTTGTAATTATAAATCCCCTTAGAAATCATCTAGCCGAATATCAGACCCGATGATGGAATGCCATCTGTAACATCTTTGACATTTGGCTGTTCATCCTCTTCGTGGACATCCCTAGTGCCAGGGGATTCATTTGTTCACAAGGCAATACCATTTTTAAATATTTCTAATCATTAAAAAAGTCTTGCATATTCTAAGCTATCAATTATTTTGTCAAATCCTGTGGTGAAATTCAGAAACATAATTTCCACAGAATTGTCCTGATCTACCTGGTTAGCAGTGATATAATAAAGGAAATTAAGTTAATGGAAAATTATTGGTTCTACGTGGCCCCATGCTTATCCCTGTGTGTCACAGTTCAATGCTGCTTCCCATTCAGGAAAGAACTGGGAATTGTCCATTCTGGAGCTCCTTTAGAATGAGAGCAAGGTAAGCAACACACATGGCAGGGCTCAAAAGGATGCAATTATTCACTGCACTGAGCAGGTTGGACTGCACAAAAACTGTGTTTGATGCCATTTCTTTGAATGTTTGCCCCACCTCGGGTTATGATTTCTGCTCACATCTTGGGTTCTTTTACCACCATATTGCACAATTCTTCCAGACCTCAGATAAATTTTCTGTCTTTGGCCTGTCTTTATTTGGCATTTTGGATCTTAAATAGAGAGCTATAATGGATCCCAGGAGCCACCTAATCAGTTCCCTTAGTTTTATAAATGAAGAAGCTCATAGAAGTTAAGCACCTTTCCTTGTGCTAATGGCTTAGGCAATTAGCCATTTTTGTCCAAACAGCCCTACTCCTTGCTTCTGGCCCCACATGAACTGAGATGCTAGCTTGATAGACCACCACTCAATTAGTTCATTCCACTTGCTATGAAGTCCATGCCAGGGAGGACTATTGGCTGCAATCCTTGGTGACCCTGACTCTTTTCCTGTCTCTGCTCTATAATAGTTGCTAATGATCACCACTAGGTGGCAAAATTATTATATTAAAGAAGTATTTGTTGTGGTTGAGTCATTTTACAATCATATATGACTCTTTGTGATCCCATTTGGGATGTTCTTGGCAGAGATGCTGAAACAGTTGGCCATTTCCTTCTCCAGCTCATTTGACAGATGAGGAGTCTGACGCAAATAGTTAAGTCTTGCCCATGGTCACATAACTAGTGTCTGAGGTCAGATTTAAACTCAGGAAGATGAGTCTTCCTAACTCCAGATCTGATACTCTGTGCTACTACTGTGTCACCTAGCTGGCCCAAAGTATTATTAGACTAACTAATATTGAAGATAATTAAATATTTACTATAAGTAAGGATAAAACTCTGCCTTAAAGAGCTAGACTCATTGTGGGGAGAGTTTTTTTTTTATATGGGAAACAAACTAAGCAGGGCATTTCATGCTCATCATTTTATCCAAAGGAGAAAAAGTTAATAGTTCTTAGCAAGCTTTTAGCAAAGTGTAGCTCATAAGACTCTAGGAATGAATAATATGCCATCAAGAATATCACCAAATCAATACCACCCGTCATGTCAAGAGTTAATGGGTCAATTCAAAGGTCAGGATCCAAAATTTGGGGGCTTATAAAAGCTGAAATTTGCAACTGAGTCTTTAGCGGTTGTTGAGTTCAACCTGCATGGTTTCCAGATGAGGTCTGGTGAGATGGAATAACATGCCTGGGATCACATAGTTAATCTCTGAGGCCAGATACGACCCTTGATCTTCCTGACTCCATCACTGCATCCACACTACCTCACACTGTAACTCAAAGAAGTAGGGTAGTGCTCACTTACTCTCTGCAGTATTTACTACAGCTACAATATTAAACTCATACATATTATCCTTTAAGGTCCATCAAGTGCTTTCCTCCAATTACTCCCACATGAAGTAGATAATGTAATTATATCTCCTTTTTAGAGGTGAAGAAACCAAGGTTCAGAGACATTAA